TATTTGCGCCGGCCACCCCCCTCAATGCATCAAAAACGTCACCTTGGCTCACCGCACCTTTACTCCATAATGTGGCCCTCAATGTATCCTGGTCCACCCCTAAGAGCTCCTTGAAGTACGCCTGACATGTGGCAGTGTCGGGGTCTGCGGTGACTACATCTCCCTCCACAAGAATCCCTAAAATGGCCCTCACGTCGTGCAGCAGTATACTCATTTCACCAAAAGGCAGGTGAAATGTGTTCGTATCTGGCTGCCAACGCTCCACAAATGCACAGAGAAGTGGAGTGTCGACGTGACTATGCATACAAAAGGCCAAATGTGACATCCCGATGTCACGGATCAGGGCGCGCGGAGCCGGACTCATCTCCTGGAGCCAAGTCTTCAACATCTTGTACGCTGCCATCCTATTTTGGCATTTCAACATGCCTCTGAATTCTCCTGCCCACATCCTAGAGGCTACGTGCCCTAGAAAGCTAGGGATCACACTCCCGTCAACGGGGCCACCGGGCACTGACCCTTTGACGATCCAATCGTCAACCTTAGTGCGTTTGCTACTCGCACCTGTATTAGAATAAAACAATTAATATATATATACGATATATTATGATTTAATGTATCAATGACATGCTATTGTCAGATAAAAAACTATCTAATGGTGGTTCTGAAAAAACGAACCGGTCATCGATTCGATATGGTACTAATCGAATCAACGGTCGAATCAGTTTAATTAATTTATAATTTTTTATTTATTTATTTTATATGTATACTATATATTTATATAATTTCTATCATTAGTTTTATTAATTTGCTTATCTATTTTCTAATAATTTAAATAGACTGTTTTGCCCTATATATAGTCCAATTTATACAATAATATTTTTTTTTTAATAAGTAAATATATCACACATTGAAAAAACACATTTAAAAAATTTGTCAAAAAAGATAAATACGCAAATCATTTACCTGAGGATGGATGGGCAGGTCGGCGGAGTTGTTTTCTTGGACGTGGCTGTGGCTGTGGCTGTGGCTGTGGCGGCTGTGGCTGCTGTGGCGGCTGTGGCTGCTGTGGCTGTTGTGGCGGCTGTGACGACTGTGGCTACTGCGGCTGCTGTGGCGGCTGTGGCTGCTCAGCTGCAGTAGAGTCCGCATTATACATCTGCTCATCATCATCATCATCATCATCATCATCATCATCATCATCATCATCATCATCATCATCATCATCGTCATCATCATCATAATCATCATGCACCGGACTACTCATAACCGCCGACTCATAAGTGGAGCTCTGACAATGAACAATACGAATCGTCCCCATACGCCCTGAACTGCCAGGCACCAGCGAGACGGCCTGCTGACCGCTCTCTACCGGAGGAACGAATGGTGTCGAACTGGCATCCTGGGCAGCCTGCACATCGACAACCTGTCTCTGGAGAAGCTCATCGCGCCTCATATCCATCTCCCGCCGAACAAAAGCACTATGAGGGTGTCGGTGTCCAGAATCGTCAATCTCAACCTAAATCGAAAAAAAATTAAACTTTTAATTATTTGTTTTCAAATAAATTAATATATTTAGTAATTAATATATATTAATATCAAATATACATATAATTCAATTAATTTATTTTAACTATCTATTAATATATTTTTTACTTATTAATATATTTTCATTACTTATTAATATATTTATAATATTTATTAAATATTAGAAAATTATATTTCTAATATGTTTTTTATATTATTTAATAATATTTTAATTTAATATATATTATATATAATAACTTTTTTAACCTGCGCAGCCTGCACATCGGCAACCTGTATCTGGAGATCCTCATCGCGCCTCAGATCCATCTCCCGCCGAGCAGAAGCACTAACACCACGACTATGAGGATGCCGGTGTCCAGAATCGTCAATCTCAGCCTAAATCGAAAAAAAAAAATTAAACTTTTAATTTTACGTTTTAAAATAAATTAATATATTTAGTTATTAATATATATTAATATGAATTATATATCTATATTTATAAAGATATTAATATATATATAATTTTATTAATATATTAATATAGTATATTTAATAGATAATTATATTAATATATAATTAGGTAAATATGTTAATATATATATAAATATAGATATATATTTCATATTATCATATTAAAATATAGATATTATATTTCATATTATTATAGTATATGTTAATAGACCAGTATATGTTAATAGACCAATATATATTAAAATATATATACGAAATATATATACCAATATATATTAATATTTTTATATTATTTAATAATATTTAAATTTAATATATATTATATATAATAACTTTTTTAACCTGCGCAGCCTGCACATCGGCAACCTGTATCTGGAGATGCTCATCGCGCCTCAGATCCATCTCCCGCCGAGCAGAAGCACTAACACCACGACT